AGTCTTGCCTGGAAATAATGGCCTTAAAGATCAATGGCTGGCTTTGCTTTGGACAAAGGAAAATATCCATCAGTTTGGTGGTAATCCACAGGATATAACTCTTATTGGAGAAAGTGTGGGCGCAGCTTCAGTTGGTTACCATATTCTTAGTCCCATGTCCAAAAGTATGTTTTTCAAAAATGTAATGTTTTCAGTCAAAATTAAATTTCAGATTTATTTGGTGCCGCTATAATGGAAAGTGGAAGCAGTCTTCTTTCTTTAGTGCAGTACAATGCTCGTCAAAATGCTTTCGATGTTGCCAGGAAGGTTGATTCTTCAATTAGTGAATCTAGTTCATCAGAGGATGTTCTAAAAACTCTTCAAGCAACAGATGCCGATTTGTTAGTCAATGTAACAAGCAAATTGGGAATTACTGTCAGTATCTACTTATTTATTTATTATGGCACAAAGATAAACTATTTATTTAATTTTTAGTTTGCACCAATTTTGGAAGTGAACAATATGTATCCTTTCCTTACTAAACCATGTTACGAGTCACTTGAATCAGGCGATTTTCATCAGGTTCCGACATTGATTGGGATGAACTCTGAAGAGCTAATTTTTATGTTTCCAAGTAAAAAATTCATATACTTTTCTAATGATAGATATTAATTATTTTCCTACTAAGGCATTGAAGAAGCTAAATCGACAGCAGCCCAGTACGACTCAAACTACACTCTTTTGCTACCCAGAAATTTACAACTTAAGGAAGGCGTCAATGTGGATACTCTAGTGCAAGAGATTAAGCAGCAATACGTTGGTAATGGTACTTTTGTTGAAGATTACGGAGCTATTGTTAGGGTGAATACCTGTTAGTGGTTAATAAATTTGTGTACTTAACACATTAAAATTTTCAGTGGACAACTGATGATGTTTTTAGAAGATCGGGCTTCAAACAAGCATTGCTTCAATCTAAGTACAGTCCTGTCTATTTTTATGTATTTTCGTTTGTTGGTACCATCAGCCGGAGAAATCCAGCTATTCCAGGTAAATATCTTTAATCATTTCATTAATTTCATTATCATGGAGATGTTGCCCATTGTTCCATTGACTCTAGTCATTACCTGTGGCTTTTCATAACTTCTAGAAGTTGGTACGACATGATAAGTGTAGGTTATCAAGTTTTTTGAATGTATCCTCCATTGCCAACACGAAAAGTGATCTAAAATCTGCCTCTATCAGTCCTGATTAAAATGAAAATAGTGTTCCCTTCCAGCAGTCCAATCAATGTGGCCTTTCTGTAGAAGTTATGCATATGCTTTCTATATCATGAATTCAATGCTATGAAATTACTTTTAGTAGTTCAGGAAAGTGAGATAGAGGAAGAGATGGTATTAGTTCCGGTACCTTGTTCAGTTCTTAATCCATCAGTATACCATTTTATTGCGTCCTGCTGTACTGTGAGAATGGATGTGGTGTTTTTTCCCATTCTTTTCTGTTCATGAGAGCCCTTGTTGTCTTGGCTCCTTCAGTGTATATTCTCCATCTTAGTTTGCATTCCAGTGTTATGCTGATATATCCAACTCATATTACTGGTGTAATAGTAGTTCCGTATATTCGGATATCCTTCATTTTAGGCACTATTACTCCATGCTTTAAGTCCAGTCTGTACGTGATCACACAGGGTGCCCTCGAAGTTTCCTCATTCATAGCAAGGCGGTGTCATTGGTATACCCAACACAGTGTAATCCCAGGTTGTTCAGTATTCCTAGTAGTTCATCCACCACTAAGCTCTCAAGGTTGAGCATACTCCATCCTGAGGAGTGCCTCGAGTGGTGCTCACCCCAATAGACTCAGTGCCTACTGAAGTTTTTGCTAGTATCTTGGTGAGCATCTCACACATCCATCAAGATGTTGTGTCGTGGACTCTTCTTCAAATGACTACATAGGTTGTCTTGTCGAAGGCACCAGTGATGTTTAGGAAGGCGTATAATGCGACTTCTTTCTCATTTAGAGTTTCTGGTATCATGCTCGTCAGTTGGAAGAACAGAGCTGTCTCATTGGACCTGCCTATTCTGTAAGCGTGCTGACTTGCGTTCAAAGACCACCTAAAAATGAGATAGTTTCTGTTGTAGCTCTTCTTCTAACCTTTTTTGAAAATGCTTCTTCTCTTTTTCTCTGATATTTTCGCAAAACAGATAGGTATAGTTTGAACATAAACAATATCCTAGCAGTTACTTCATCTTCTGATTATGAATCTGTTGATATATCTATTTTAACATAGTATTTATTTCTTTGACATTCCAATGTCAAAGTCATTCGACAAAAATTTCTAATCTCCATCATATCCAGTTGATATCGGTACATGGATGAGGTTTGGGGAGATGCTTGAGGAAAACCACCTATTCAAAATATTATTTCTTCAAATCTTAACTTTTTAAAAAAACGTTTACTGAATAAAAGTAAATGTTGCAACCTTGTCTGCGCCATCAAATTTAGGGGTGACCGCGTTCGACCACAAGGAACGATACTGCGAACGGGAGATATAGAAGATGCAACTAGACTTAAGAACAAGCTGGGGCGGTTCCTTTAGACGCGTGTCTGTAATTATTCAATTTTCATTTCTATTTTGTATTAAAATTGATTGTTCAATCCAATTTGTTATTAGTGTATGTGTAGGGAGCGTTCACAGGTTAGTGGATTAAATATTATTTTGTTTTTGAGAGTTCAATTTATGAAAGTTCCTATTATTTTGTTCATTTTTATGTATTTTTTGTTTGTTTATAACATTTTTTATAACATGTGCATTGTTCATCTATTTAACAAAAATTGTTTCATACTGTAAACAACACAGATAAAGAAGTAAATTAGAACCCAAGAAATTTGCGCTGAGATTTTGATTTTATGGATTTAGAGCGTGCATTAGGGCCTTGTTGAATTTACTAACATTTTCCTACCCTGACGAGAGAATATCCTAGCAAATTGAATAATCAATCTAGAGATGTTGGCTCAAAAACAACTATAGCTGAGTAGCTTCCCGTATGGGACCTCAGTACCTGCTGGGAAACTGGCTAACAAAAAAACTCTTCAGTATTGAATATAGGCAGTGTTGATTGAATGTAGTGTGTATAATTGAAATTTTAGCACAAAGACAAAGGTACCTAATTTAAGTTTTTTGACTTAAATTATTGAATTATTGACTCACAATTATTATTAAAATGACACAGTATGTTTCGATATTTGAGGAATGTTAGATCGAGGGTTTCTCTTCTTTTACATATCACAACTTCCTTTAAATTTCCCTAATATTTGTTATGTCGGGCGCATGTCCAGTAAGTAAAATTGAGTAAGTTTCCACAACGTAGATCCTATTTGTTTTTCATTTTGTTTCTCTGAAGATTTGTTGTTTGAAAGGTAATAAAAATTCTCATTACTGAACGAACCCGGGTATGTTATACTACATGCTAATATTCAGGATGATGTATACAACTCATCATAAGACATAAACTCTATGCCTACGTACTTTTTATATTCCAGGTTTCTATAGTATTCTGAGTTCAGATCAATGCAGTCTTCGTAACTTCAGACTCAGAATTTTCATAACAGTGACAAAGGCATAGCAATCGTTCTCTTCAGAACACATCTTTCTAAGGAGCTTATAATAATTAAAATCCATAAATACATTTTTCTTTTAGGATGCGGAAGAGTTGCTCATGGCGACGAGCTAGCTTATTTATTTAACATAAGCACAAAACCACTTATAACAGATGCAGACTTTTTAACTAGACAAAGAACTGTTAAATTATGGACAAATTTTGTTAAATTTAGGTAACTATACTTTTAATTTGTATGTATATCGGGCTTTAATGGTTACTAAAATTTTTATTTTAGAAATCCCACACCCGACGAATCTAGCGAATTATTACAAAACGTTAAATGGGAACAGCTTAATGGCCAAAACCAATATCTCGATATTGGAGAAAACTTGGAGCTCAAATATCACTTCAAATCTGACTTACCAGCCTTTTGGGACTATCTTTGGGATACTTACGTTTCTCGTCCTTATAACTCGTTTTAGTTACCCTCCTTTATTCTACAAACAGAAAGACAGTAACAATAAGAAACACTGTATTATTAAACAAACGGTCTCTATTGTCCACTTACACCATTATACAAAAACATATATCAAAAACTCACGTAATATTATTATAACTCTCGAATTGTTCTTTATTTCCATTGTTGTTCATATCGATTTTGAATCTGCTGCTACCGCTAGCGCTAGGTTGTGCTATAGAACTAACGATCCTGTGCTATCGTTATGAAAAAAAATCAATCATTCCAGGTGGGGAGCTTAGTGGTATATAAACTACTAGGAATACTGAACAATTGGGTGCTTTGAGTAAGAATCTTATCAACTGAAGCACCCAGAATCATAGATCTATGCAAGTCGCAGTGTAAAAATACCCCCAATTCATTCATACATTCATAAAAGAGACCAGGATCATAGAATTACTAATGAACTGCTGGAACAGAATTACTCATTAATGAATTGATTGACTAATCAAATTGATCAAAGGAACCCCACGTTCTGATTTACTCATTACCATTGATTTTGTTGGATGCGCAAGTATATTTTGGCTCGTATCAGCAAACAGTCGAGCAGTAAAGCATACATCATTTCGGTCTCTAGAATGTACAATTATGTAATCGATTATATGCCAGTGCTTTGAACTTAGGGTGTTACCAAAAAGTGTAAATAAAATATACTGATACCCAAAATTAGATTTTTTTATCATAATTGTATGTCATAAAGACGAATAAAATATGAGACTGTTTGACGCGTACCACTAGAAAGACGTTCTAATGGTACTTATTTTATTAGTGATGATTATAGTGTTAACGAACCTGATATGCGGCTACTTAACACCTATACGAATGTTACTGTGATTTTTATTAAGTATCAGTATAATAAGCCTGTGACGTTTCTGCTTAGATCTTTGTGATAATTGCACTTTGCCTTGATGTCTGGTTTAACCATTAATACTACAATTATTATTTCACTTGAAAAGTATCAAGGTTTTTTATTTCCATCAATCCTAGACAGCACAAGAATAACATACCTGCTACTTATGTTTCGAGTGTTTCCAATGTGTCTGCGCTGTTATCCAAGTAAGTTCCCAAATTATTAATGATAACATGCTATCTAAAGAAAAACAAATACACATAAGTTAATTTTATTGTTTGAGAATTATATGTTATCCAAGTAAGTTAATCTCAAATTATTTAGCATTAACAATTATTCCTAGGAACATGCTATTTGAAGAAAAGCAAATACACACAAGTTGGTTTTATTGTTTGAAGAATTACTATGTGTTATCCAAGTAAGTTAATTTCAAATTATTACCGATAACAATTTATTACTAGGAACATGCTATTTAAAGAGCAAAGTAGCAAATACACATAAGTTAGTTATATTGTTTAAAGAATTTCAGTGATGTGGTGCGTCATCACAGTCCTTGTAGTTTTTGCGGCTCATCATTGTATCGTGAGTATATTAAATTAATTTTATATAAAATATATTTTTTCGTGTTTGAATTTTCAATAATATATCTATGGGCTTCAGGAGAATGAATAAATTTTAATTCATTTTGAAAGTCTTCACGAGCCCGAAGTTTTTAGATAATTTTTATTAAAATTGATTGACGAGCACACAAGAAAAGGCCAGCCTAAATAAATCCTTATTATAATACAAAAATGAACTCTGGGCTGATTAAGAATAAAAAGAAATAACCTTATGTTTTAGGCCCACAATCTCATCATAAGTCTACAGTCTGGACAAGTCCGGGGAACTACTTTTAGTACACCAAGTGGTAAAACATTTAACGCTTGGAGAGGTATAGCATTTGCCAAACCACCATTAGGAGATTTAAGATTTAAGGTAACATCCTATTCTTTCATATAAACTTTATATTATGTTATGGTTTAAAAGCACCCAGAACGTCCAAAACCCTGGGATGGTGTATTAGATGCTACAAAAGATTCAAAGGCCTGTATGAATACAAGTTATTTTGAAGGCGAACCAGAACCAACTTATGGTTACAGTGAAGATTGTTTGTACGTGAATGTTTATGCTCCAATAAAACCAAATTCTAGTGTAAGTATGAAAATGTTTTAACAAACGCATTCTATTTTTATTATTTAGGTTCGTTTGCCAGTGATGTTTTTCATATGGGCAACTGTAGAGGGCGAACATAAAATAGAATCTGGAAGAGTAGCTGGTGATGAAGAGATGGAGGATTCTTTTATTAACTTAGAAGGCCCAGCCTCCATGTTCCATGTTCTTTTATTTCTGGAGTAGAAGCAACATATGAATTTGAATTTCCTGCTATTACTGTTTCGAGAGCAGTTTCGGTTACAGAGCCGATATTATTTGTCCGTTTTCTATTCTGATAAGCTAGAAGCTGTATTGGATCAAACTCACTTTCTGGAAAACTATGGCGATTCACTGGAGAAATTTATGTGGTGATGAATCCTGCTCGGATATTCGCTTTCGTCATAGCTTCTGCCCAAACTAAAGCCAAGAGTTCAACAAAATCACGTTTTTGCAAACGTCCCGTTCCAACGCCAATATTGGCTTTGCCAAACTCAACCAACTCTCGGTCCCATGCTTTTTTCACCGGACCAAATACGCACTTGTCTGAGGGTTGAATTTTGTCTGTGAGATGGCTGGGAAATTTTATAATTTGTATATTAGCCTCAATAGCAATTTCTATTATGCGTAGACTCATGTGGCTGCTGTGACCATCATATAGAAGCAAAGCGGTTGCATCCGGTAGTCCCAGATCGGTACGTTTGTTACGGACATGAGTTATAAAACAAGTTTGCAGCCACTGGAAAAATTGAGGTTCTTCTATTCATCCATTTTGCGATGTTGCATACACTGTTCCAGGGGAAGCGGCGGGTGATGTCCAACAGGCCTGGACCGCAACTCCTTATTTGAATATAATCAGAGGTTGAAGTACTGTGCCATCTGCTGCCAATCATGCCGATACAGTGGTGTTTTCTCGACCTGAGTACCCAATAACGCGACTCAAGGCATTCCCTTTGATGCCTACGCCACAAGGATCGGAACTAAACCCAAAATCATCAGCATTGAAAGTAAATGATGGTAGGATATTGTAACTCGCAACTACTTTCTCCAGTCTATCGTAGAAATCATAAACTACTTCTGGGTTTCTTGCTAACATCCTTGACTTTTGGAGATGTTCAGGTTTCTTTAAGCTCAGCCTAGAATGGCGTGACATAAACTCAATATACCAATTGTGTCCAGGTTTTCCATTTTTAAAGCTCGTTCTTATTTGATTTTGCACCACGTAGTGTGCAGAGACTAATTGAAGCAGTTCTTCTTTTGAACAAGGGTAGCCAATTTTTTATCTTTCCATGAGACATTCCGCAATATCATTTTCCACTTCAGGTGTCAGAGCGGGCTTTCTCCCTCCACCTAATTTTCCTTCGGGAATTTTACGACCATTTATTCTACTGAAAATATTAGAAATTGGTATTCTGTAAGGATCAGCAGCTTGTCCATATGTCAAATTATTGGTTGCAACATCCTGTACCGCTTTTTTCAAGTCTTCTATAGAATATAGCCGCGCGCAGATCTCTATTTCACATGGGTTCGTGGCATCTGAAAGATTTTACACCTGAAATAATTGCTTGGGGCAGAAGAAAACATGCTTGGAGTAAAAGAACAGTTTTTTTTACTCCAAAAAACTGTTTCAATTTACCCCAACGTGGTTAAATAGATTGGGTAAATGGAAATACCTCGCCGTTTCCATCCGAACAATATTATTGACTACCGTAATATACAGGGTGGGCCACTGAAAACTTACAATGGCTATAATTTTTGAACCAAAAAAGATATTGAAAAAATAAAAAATACCGTTTTTATAAAATCAAGGCGGAATACACATGACGTATTTTTCAAACCACCCCGACCTACCCCTTAGGCGCCACCCCTACTCGCTTCAAAATCTTTAATGGCAACACCCCACTTGTGGCACCTTTTCGAAAAGCTCATGAAAAATGCTAAACGATGGTCATAAAATTTTTAGGGTGACATTGGAAAACTACCCGTCAAATGAAAAAAATTGGTAGAAATAAATTTTACAAAAAAAAAAAGAATTTTTAGCATGAAATTAGAGATAGGAAATTGAAGCGACCCAGCTAAATTCAAATTACGTATTTTTCAAACCACTGCGACCCACCCCTAGGAGCCACCCTCACTCATTTGAAATTCTAAGATTGCGGTACCCCACTTGTGGCAACTCTATGGAAAGCTATTTGAAAATGCTAAACGACGGTCATAAGGATTTTAACCTAAGAAAATTACGGCTAAGTAGAGATTAGGAAATGTAGGTGTGACATCTTGAAAAATAGGAACCAAATTAAAAATGATCTAGATAATTTATTTTAACAATTGCTCAAAATAACAGCCGTTTTGTTCCATACAAAAATACAAACGACTTTCAAATTCTTCTCTCACTTTCTGGAACATCTCTCTCGGAATGTTTCGACATGCCTCAATTATCCTCTGCCGCAATTCTTGCAACGAAGCTGGTTTTGTCTTGTAGACTGGATTTAATGTAACCCCACAAAAAGAAGTCTAAAGGAGTGAGGTCAGGTGACCTTGGCGGCCACTCGATTGGACCCCTTCTGCCAATCCATTGCCTTGGATAAAATCTATCTAACCACCGCCTTGTGACAATAGCATAATGCGGAGGGGCTCCATCTTGCTGAAAGTGTATGATGTCTTCATCAAGATTCAAATTTCCTCCCAAATCTCTTTGATTTTCAGACTCATTTACAATTTCCGGCTCTATCGCATTGTCCAGCATTTCCACATAAACAGCACCCGTCAAATTTCCGTCGATGAAAAATGGACCTATTATTTTATCGCCAGTATTCCGCACCAAACATTGAGCTTTTGGGGATTTTGGGTATGTCCTTCAACAACAATATGGGGATTCTCATTGCTCCAGTATCTGCAGTTCTGTTTATTCACATTTCCATTTAGCAAAAACGAGCACTCATCACTAAAACAAACATTTTTAGTGAGTGAAGCTTGCCTTCGAATTTCCTCCGTCATTAGTTCGCAGAACTGAATCCTTCTATCTGGATCATCGTCGCCAAGTTCCTGCAGAATTTTCATTTTGTAGGGGTGGAATTTGTGCATTGTTAATACTCTTCTGACAGATGTTCGGGGTATGCCTGTTATTGATGCCAACTGGCGCGTTGATGCTTCTGGATTGACCGACACCTGACCAATAACTTCGATTTGCATTTCTTCATTCAGTACCCTGGGCCCTACCCTTTTTTGATTTTTGACCGATCCCGTTCGTTGAAACTTTTGGATCAAATCCCTAACATAAACGTGACTAACGTTTCTGTCCGGATTTCTCTCATTGAAAGCACGGGCTGTTCTCAAATAGCACTTACCTTCAGCACCATAAAGAAAAACTATTTCAATTCTTTCTTCCACACTATAAACCGTTTTTCGAAGTTTTAACTAAGTAAATTAAATAAAGGTAGAAATTATCGTCACTAAATTTGCAAAATAATGATTTGAAAAATGATAGAAGACAGTAAGTAATGCATTTTGTTTTTTTTTTGTTGCTGTGGGTCGGGTTGCTATAGAAAAGTAAACAAATAGCTGATAAGGAAGAATTTGCGTTACCGCAAGTTCTTATTTGTGGATTGGTGGAAAATGTTAAAATAAATTATCTAGATCATTTTTAATTTGGTTCCTATTTTTCAAAATGTCACACCTACATTTCTTAATCACTACTTAGCCGTAATTTAATTTAGGTTGAAATCCTTGTGACCATCGTTTAGCATTTTCAATTAGCTTTCCATAGAGGTGCCACAAGTAGGGTACCGCAATCTTAGAATTTGAAATGAGTGGGGGTGGGGGTGGCGTCTAGGGGTGGGTCGCAGTGATTTGAAAAATACGTAATTTGAATTTAGCTTACTTTAGGGACATGCTAATATCGATATTCAGGATGATGTATTTACAACTCTATTGAATTCCTGAAGCATTTCTTAGATTCTTTTCTCACCTCGAGGCATAAACCCTATGCCTTTTGTATTCCAGGCTTTAATAGTTTTCTGAGTTCTGATTAATCCAGATTCAGAATTTGCATAACAGTGTCAAAGACACTGTAATCGTTCTCTTCAGAACACACCTTTCTGAGAGGCTTATAATAATTAAAATCTATAAATACATTTTTCTTTTAGGATGCGGAAGAGTTGCTCATGGTGACGAGCTAGCTTATTTATTCAACATAAGCACAAAATCACTTAAAACAGATGCCGACTTTTTAACTAGACAAAGAACTGTTAAATTGTGGACAAATTTTGTTAAATTTGGGTAACTATACTTTTAATTTGTATGTATATTCGGCTTTAATAGTTACTAAAATTTTTATTTTAGAAATCCCACACCCGACGAATCTAGCGAATTATTACAAAACGTTAAATGGGAACAGCTTAACGAGCAAAACCAATATCTCGATATTGGAGAAAACTTGGAGCTCAAACCTCACTTCAAATCTGACTTACCAGCCTTTTGGGACTATCTTTGGGATACTTACGTTTCTCGTCCTTATAACTCATTTTAGTTATTCTTCTTTATTCTACAAACAGAACAACAGTAACAATAATAAACACTTTTTTAATAAACAAACGGTCTTTACTGTCCACTTACACCATTATACAAAAACAAATATCAAAAACTTAGGAACTATTATTATAACTCTCGAATTGTTTTTTATTTCCATTGTCGTTTATATCGATTTTGAATAATCCCAAACATTCTTTCTATAGTAATCGAATCCAAACGCAACTTTGTACAATTGGGACAAAAGAAACAACACTTGGGAGTATCAAAAACAAATCGATTTCATGATTCTTCAAAACATCTCTTCGTTTAAATTTTGCTTTGCAAGTGTTACATTCAAAAGGAAAAATATCCGAGTGCTTCAATTGTTGACTCTTCCAGTCGAGTTTTCATTTAAATTTTGCTGTGCAAGTGTTACATTTAAAAGGATAAATATCCGAGTGTATTAGTTGGTAAATCTTCATACCGCCTTTTCCTTTAAATTTTGCTATGCAAGTTTCACATTCGAATGGATAAATATCCGAGTGTATTAGTTGTTAAATCTTCAAACCGCCTTTTCGTTTAAATTTTGCTTTGCAAGTGTCACATTCAAAAGGAAAAATATCAAAATGTGTTAAGTTCATGAATCTTCAAAACATCTCTTCGTTTAAATTTTGTTTTGCAAGCGTGACATTCAAAAAAAATATATTCGAGGCTTCACTTGGTGACTCTTCCAGTCGAGTTTTCGTTTAAATTTTGCTTTGTAAGTGTTACATTCAAAAGGATAAATATCCGAGTGTGTCAGTTTGTGACTCTTCAAATCACCTTTTCATTGAAATATTGCTTTGCAAGTGTCACATTCAAAAAGATGTATAATATGCAAGTGTTTTAGTTGGTCTCTTCAAATTGCTTCTCGTTTAAATTTTACTTTGCAAGTGTCACATTCATTATTTATTTCGTTTATTTAGCAATAACTAATCGTGCAACTTACATAATATATAAAATCACAAAAGTTATAATGAGTCTGCAGTGTAAATTGAAATAATCACAATTCAAAAAACAACAAACAATTCAATTCAAAAACAACAAACCGAATTAACATAAATGACAAAATGAATTTTAAATTTAACATATATATAAGGTAATAATAAAATTTTAAAAATTTGTAAAATGTTAAGCCTGCTCCTAAAAGTATGGTTACCTATATATATATATAAGATCAAAAGACCACAAAATAAAAAATCTCAAATCAACAAAAACAATCGAAACAATGTAACTTATTCGTGCCTCACTCAGGGACATATATATCACATTTATGAACTTTAAATTTCCTTTAAAAATTGCTAAGACTATCACATGACCTAATTTTTAAAATAAACGAACATTATAAGAGTTGATTTTTATGTGAATATTTGTTATTTGAAAATGGCAACTTTTGTTTTTGAAAATTAATTACAAGAAGTACATTTCATAATAGTGATAAATGTTCTCTAGAGCTAAAATTTAATTGAGAGCGAGAAGAAAAGTTCTTTTAGAACAGAAATGAAATAAATCAAAAGAACTCTTTTGTTTCGTCTCAAAGAAAATTTTAAAACCTTACTTGGTAATGACAAAAGCTAACAGTCTTTTGATAAAACTATTTAACTCTCAATTTTTAAAAAAAAATCCATTAAAACTTTCCGAAACTGATTTTATTTCAACAAGATTTTCTAACTTTAGTTAATTGATCACCTAGTTTAATACATATTTCGAATGATTGTTTTCCATTATCCAAATAAATCTCAAATAAAAATCCTTTTCCCAGTCCCGACTACTATTTTATTTTATGGAAATGCATGCTGGAACTTGTCGACCGACATTCATATTCATGATGCATGTCACACACAAAATGCATTTCGCGGGAATACGGGAGAACTTTTAAAAATATCGCTATTTCCCGGGAAAAAGCTTTATTGTCCGAAAGGAGAGGAGGAATAAAAGCTCTTCTAAAAGAGCGTGGTCACTATTTTAGGAGGGCTTTTATTTTTACCCGTACCTGAAGAGAAATTTTTATAGGGCGCATTACTTTATCGATCTTACCTGCATATATTTAACTTTTTACCTCATTTTTGCCATAATACCATCAATTTCGTACCACTGGACTAGAACATCTCCTTCATAAAACAGTTTCTTTGTTGTGAAGGTGGATTTTGGTATAAGGATAAATTGCCTCTTTTCCAGTCATGATTGGATAATAAAATTTCCATTCACACACCTTATAAAGAAAATGTCTTTGTTTAACGTGTATTTATCATCATCACTAAAGGTGGAGACAAAAATATGGAGTTTGGATTTCGTGGTATGGTGCCAAATGTATTGAAAATTCTGATCCTGTATTAGGAGAACGAAAAATATATTCACAAGGCTAATTTGGTGATTCAAGTATTAGGGCAATTTGGTTAGGATAGAAAGAATCAGAGATGTTGTCAACACATATTTTGGTCCGGGTTCAATATGAAATTTTTAAATTAAAAATATGAGAATAAAGTAAATCGTACCAAAAGTCTAATACTAGGAGTCATCATTTACTCCAGGCTGACCTGGAAAGATCACATCAACGTTGTCCAGAGGGCCACTGCTAGCCTTTGGGTCTATTAAAAATCCATCGGACGCACCTGGGGCTTACAACTCCACTTCTCAATTTTAAGTACATAAATCCATACAAAACTTGTTTGTCCTTTGTTTATTCCGTGTTTGCCTACCAATTTCCGAATCCCGGCCCCTTTTCTGTATTTGGCGGCTTTTATTTTGCCTTTTGCTCTGATTTCCGATATAAAAGGATTTCGCCTGGCTAAACTGGAAAAGACCATTTGCAAAAACAACAAGCAAAATAGAAATTTGTTCTCGTACATAAACAAAATGATGCGGGAAATTTGTGAAGCTGCGTTTACCTCTTATGAGAACGGATATTAGTAACTGTGCAGCTTCAAATTATTTATTTAAAAAGTTTTATAATTTTATAATGTATTGGTACACATATTTTTATATAAAGCGCTTTCACGTTTCATATTTATTATCATATTGCGAACAAAACCAATATTATACGCAGCATCTGATACTTTTTTGTGACAATATGTAACCAAATTCTATGAAACGATAAAATATGTATGCAATATGGAAATTGGTTACGCGATATTTCAAACTAATTGCGCGTTGGTGATGAAATTAATATTTTTTTTTCGCATCTGGTACATTTCAAAAATATCTAGTTGCAAGATTTCCTTTTAACTTGAACCGTTTTCAAACAAAATTTTCATCAAAAAATTTCTCTTTAATGACTACCACGACATTCATTTACCCAAAGCGTTTAAAAAAAAAACAGCAAAGAAGCGTCCTTTATGTATATATATTTTTTTTTTTTACAAATATTAAACTTACTCAAAAAGTAAAAATATGTATTACAATATACTTGAATTATGTACTATAACAGTGAAGAATCGATTATTGAAATTGCAAATCCAATTACCAAATTCCAAAAAACCGCATCGTAAAAATTATCTATTGTTTGCCGTCTGCCATTTTTTTTTTTGTATTGGAACTCTCAGCAAAAACCCGGATTCGGTGTAAACTTCAAAGCTACAACAGCGGACCACTCGCGCCGAATAATGTCTAATTAGCAAGATTCACAAACTCGGAAAATTATTTGCATCGTGCACCCTCTTGTGGTAGGCGGTATGGTTTTTTCCAGCCAAAGGGAAGGTTGATTAAAATTGATGCATTCATCTATGTGCAACGTATAATGTGAAAGTGGAAACTGGTTTGAGTTACACACAGTTTTTTGTTAATAAAACACAACAGATTTGTATGTTGTAGGTACCAAAAGTCTTGGGATATGATTTAACAAGTAGTCCGCACGCCGTGTTGTAACCCATTTTGTTAATGAATAAACAAGAGGATCATAATATGCTCGGTTTGCCACCAAATCATTATTGGGGATGGGTTGATAGTTTATTCAGAACATATCATCATTGTCCAACTTTAACCTTGGTTCAGATTAATGATTATGATTAATAAAACATACTTATATATATTTCTTTTTAAATTACGGTACCAATAGTGAAGGAAAGATAAATCTATCATAAATACGGTAAATCAAAAATTAATTATTCCGCCATCACCCCGGTGTCAATAATGAGAGATTTCAAATGCAAGAAAAAATAATTAATTATGGTAATTGATCATAAAATACATTTCATAAAAAAAAAGGCGATAAAAGTTATAATTGAAACTCTAGGTAGAGTACGGTAGTCGGTAGCCATCCATTTTTGGTCACTGGACAAAAGAAGTTGCACATGGAAGTTGCAGATCTTAGCCTGGAATCAAGGCTAGGAGTTCAGTTTTCTCCGTCAAATGTGGAGGTACAGGTATCGACACGTGAGGGGCTGAAGAGCTCTATGCCCACGATGCACGAAAACGGTGATCTTTAAAGCTTGTTGCAAATAGATTTCTTGAAAAAAATAGCTCCCCGGTAAAACCCTATGTAATATAGACATTTCATGAACAACTATAACTTTAAAAATAAAATTAAAAAAAACTTACCACGAGGGGATTCGAAATTCGAACTCAAATAAAACAGTAATCACGAGACTTTTCATTTAAATTTCTTGTGTTGGAGTTCCCTTCGATATCCGCT